TAACAGCAATAATCACAATAGTTAGAACAGGGGTCCTCAAACTACGGCCCGCGGGCCACTTCCAGCCCGCCAAGGGCACTTATCCGGCCCGCAGAGGAGGAGCGCCCCCCCCCCACAGTGCCCCTCCCTTGGCTGGCTCATGCTATCCGTCAGGCCCGATGGGAAGTGTGAGCCAGCCAAGGGCAGCTGCTCCGCGCGGCCTACTTGCACGTAAAGCACCTCGCGTCAGGCCCGATGGGCAGCATGAGCCTGCCAAGGGCAGCTGCTTTGCGTGGCCTATTCGTGCGTAAAGCACCTCATGCGTAAAGCATGTCTTCTTATCTTTGGACCTGTAAAGAAGGAGGAGAAGCCCAGGCATCCCTTTTCTGGAGTTGATGCCATACAATCTCTCTGACTCGGGAGCCAGTTGTTATGGGGAACATCACGCTTTCAGCACCTGGGGCGATGACATTTCTCTCATGCGCAATATGCAACACAGCTGTTGCGAGAAGCAAAAGCTGAATGGAGACGGAGTTCAGATATGGGTGGCTCTTCCTGGGTGGGAATTCAGAGTTCATCGCAATCCCTGGACTTGGTTGGTCAAGTTGTCTATCCATTCTGCTCATGCTCATGTTCTTCTACAGCAGTGTTTCTCAATCTTCCTAATGCTGCGACCCCTTAATACAGGTCCTCATGTTGTGGTGACCCCCAACCATAACATTATTTTCATTGCAACTTCATAACTGTAATTTTGCTACTGTTATGGATTGTAGTATCTGAGATGAAGGATGTTGCAGTTGCTGGGATTCATAGTTCACCTACAATCAAAGAGCATTCTGAGCCCCACCAAGGATAGAATTAAACCAAACTTGGCACACAGAACTCGCATGGCCAACAGAAAATACTGGAAGGGTTTGGTGGGCATTGACTTTGAGTTTGGGAGTTGTAATTCACCTACATCCAGAGAGCACTGTGAACTGAAACAATGATGGATATGGAGCAGACTTGGCACGAATACTCAATATGCTCAAATGGGAACACTGGTGGGGGGCGGAGTTACCATGGCCGGTTGAACAGACGTCTTTCCTCCAGCTCTTGTGGAAATATAGCAAA